TCAGCTTGCTTCTGCTTAACTGTCTGGGCCTGACTGAGGCTGGAACTGCAGAGATGTGAGTGCGGATAGGATCTCCCAGAGGCTTATGTTGGCCAGGAAAATGCTGGCTTGGAAAAGGATGTGGAGCGTGTCCCAAATAAGAAGAGTCTGGAAGGAGCTTTTGATGGTCTGTTATTTCACTATTAGCTGGGAGATGTGAAATTTCCTTTTCCGGATGAGCACATTTTGTGTTTTGCAAAGGAGAGCAATTGCTTCTTGTAAGACTTAGCATTTCTGCTAATTTAATGAGCTGTCCATACAAATGGACTGCATTAGTCATTGGAAAGGCCTTTCTCAAGTTCCACAAACATGTTTTAGGCCTCTTGATAAAGCCAGTAGCATGCTGGACTCTCACAAGCAGAAAGACCTCTAAAAGTATGCAAGTTATTTCTGGCATGTTGTATTCTCAACATGTCAAGGAAACATGGATTATTTTTACACAAACAGGCAAATCAAAATGGTTCCTTAGCTAGCTCCCATGAACATTATTGGGCCCTGAGAAGGAAAAGAAAAAAAAAAGTAAGAAAAATCATTGCTTCTCTATTAGGTTTCTTAGGTGGATCACGTCAGACATTCAGAAGTTCATTTGTACCAATTCGGACCTCTGGTGAATGATGAAGGATAACACAGGAGGAAAAAACAAGGACCAGGAATTAATCTGGATATTTTATCCTTGAGTGGATTTTTTTTTTCCTTACCATGAATTTATCTTCAAACGTAGACCGTGACAAACTGCAGACACTGCTGGAATTTCTTTTTTAACAACCATTAAATGAAAGGTGGCGTGTAGGTGTTGAGAGGAAAAGGATCTCTGGAGCTGACCAAGGCCAGTGTGGAAAGAACATGCCATCAGCCTGCTGAAAACCACAAAGCAGCACACCAAGATTATTGGAGTATCCTAAACCCTCCTGACATTGCAGCACACAAAGCCAGCTGTACTTTTCACAAATATTGGAGGCTGTTTTGAAACTCCCTATTAAGCATTACAAATGCTGAGTGCAGTTTCTGGGCAAAGACAATTAGATATCACAGCTCTGGCCTCAGCTCGGTGTTCTGTGTCTGAGCTCGCATTACTGTGGAGGGTTCTTGTGCATTAGATTACCTCAGCCAGAACCAAAATCTGACACCCACCAAAGCAGAGTCCTGTGATTATGATAAAAAAAAAAAAAGTACAGCCTGGTCTCAGCATTTTTTCTGTTGCAGAAGTATTTTCCCACATGGTGAAGGGACTTCTGTACAGAAAAGAGGTGTAAAGCATGCATAAACAGCGATACTTAACGTGCATCCTCATCCATAGCTGCTTCTCAGCGTAGTCTGTTCGCTGGATCCATACTCATGTTCAAATTCAGGAGTAGCACTTGCTGCTTGGGCTTGGTGGAGTCACAGCCAGCTGTGTTAAGGTTTGTTTTGGCCAACCAGTGTCGTTAATGCTTACACAGATGAACATCAATAATTTTCAATAATTATACCTCTGCTCAGTGGGAGAGTAGTTGTGTTGCAAGTAATTTATCCCAAGAAAAATAAAAAAACGGGAAGAGGGCACTTTTGTGCAGTCAAAACCTCCACCAGCTGGGTGCTCTAACACGTCGTCAATGGGTACTGCACTACAGGGTCAGTGCTGTTGTGTGATGTGCATTGCACCTGCATGAAATTAAAGTTCACACTGCCTTGTCTATTTTCCTTTTTTTTAACCTTGCACTTAAAATTTGCCTTCTCCCCTCTGACAGGCCTCAGGAAGAAGTTTTGAATGTGGTGCCAGCCCAACAGCAGACGATGAGAGAAACCGAGACAAGCACTTCCAAGATAAGTAATAAATGATAATTGTTATTTCCTGTTATTCATCTGAATCTCTACTCCTGAGAATTTGAGTTAAATCCTAAATTTTCCTTTTATTTTTAATCAGATCATCCATCAAGTTAAAAAACAGCAACACAAGGAGGTCCTAAGATAGGGTTTGCTCCAGTTTTCCTGCTGAGCATCTGTTTAGGAATTGCTGCTAAAAAAAGTCAGAGGGGATGGTAGTTGCTGTGCTGTCACATGGGCTGATACAGCACAGAATCTGCTTAGCATTCTTGAAGGGAAATTATCCAATGCTGTAACTCACAGTTTATAATTGGTTGCATATTAATATCTAAAAAAGGCAATAAAATCCACTGTGTGTTTAAAAAAAATAGTAAGTAGGAGTATTACAAGCTGAGCAGTGAAAATCTGGAAGACTTCTTGGCTAGAGCAGGGCTGTGTGCAGTGCTGTTTCTCCCTTAATTACAAGCAATTTTAAATCGTCTCCTTCCTTCAAAGAAGGATTTTGTTCAGGGTTTGTGTTAATTTTAATCTTGCTAACGTGATACTCTCTTGGAACCTCTCTCTTGTGTCATAACAGTGAGATGTGCTGCCTCTTTTGTCCCTGCCCTTTGGGAAATGCAGTTACTGCTGCTCGTTGCCTCAGCCCTGCCATTGTGACTATCAGTGTACCTCCCTTGAAAGGAGAAGAAAACAAAACCCAACAGCAGCATTGCTTCCCCCCCCCCCCCGCAAGAGGTTCACTTTTATTTGTACTAGACTGTGCAAGTACTTCATGAAAATCAGGGATTTAAAATGTATGGTGCTGTATTATAGTGGAAAGCTTGTTATTCAGCACACTAATTATTTCTGAGTCACTGTATTTATGAAATGGCGTGTAATAACTACTTCACCGCCACGCAAAAGTAAATAGTACAAAAGCAGGCATTTTATGATTTTGACATTTTAGTGTATAAACATATTCCTGAGTCTCCTGGGGGGCTACTGGAAATCAGATAATGGTTTTATGACTTCTAAAAAAATGAGGTTGAACTTCATAGTCTGTAACGCTCCATATATATGGTTAATGTTGCACATTTTATTACAGCCTCAGTAGCTTATGTTACAAGTGTCAGCTGCAAAGAGAAAATGTGCAAAGGCAGGTTTGTGGAACTTGGGGGGGAAAAACATCACAAAACCTTGCAATGCACACATCAAAGCCCTTGGACAAGCTGTAATGGCAGGTCCTGGACCATGCTGGGACACCAGAATTCACCCTCTGCTTTTTTTTTGTTTCAGGATGGATTTTCTGCCCACACTTGTCACTAGAGGATAAGTGAGTTTGGGTTTTTGTCAAGCCCTGTGTGAATGACTCGTTAACTCCAGAGGAACTGGGATGCCTTGAGTGACACTCTGCGAGTGAGTACAGAGGGGAAGGAGGGTGGGTTGTTGCTACACTTGGGCTTCTGAGTAGTCTTGCATGGTCTCTGAGAACAATGGGTGGATGCTTACCAGAATATGTGATTTCAGAAAATACTGTGCCTAAAACCAGGCCTTTTGTGCTCCTTTGCAAAGCGTGCTTGGTGTTACGGAAAAGTACCAACAGCCGGTACTGAAAGAGGAAGGAGGCTTTCACTCATCTTTAAGATTCCATATATATATAAACATGATGCTGATGTTTCATGATTTCTAGCCCTTGTCTGTGTGGGAGACTTTAACTTGATGGATGTCTGCTGGAAACTCAATGCAGCAGACAGGAGGCAGTCTCGGAGTGCGTGGAAGAGAATTTCTGTTGCAGCTGTTACAAACAGAGAAGGTTCGGTGGGAGATGTGGTGGTTGAAGGCTGTCTTGGGCACAGTGACCATGAAGTCATAGTTTTCAATTCTTGTTTTCAGTTCTTAGTTTTCAATTCTTGAAGTAAGGAAGGGGGTCAACAAAACCTCTGCCTTGGACTTCCAGAGGGTAGACTTTTGCTTGTTCAAGACACTGGTTGAGAGTGTCGCCTGGGGCTGTTTCCCCCAGATGACACTAAGTTGGGTGGGAGTGTTGATCTGCTGGAGGCAGGAAGGCTCTGCAGAGGGATCTGGACAGGCTGGACCAATGGGCCGAGGCCAATGGTGTAAGGTTTAATAAAGAAAAGTGCCTTATTGAACACAATAACCAATGACTGGATATGGCACTCAGTGCCATGGTCTAGTTGACAAGGTGGTCATTGGTCAAAGGTTGGACTCGGTGATCTTGGAGGTCTTTTCCAACCTTAATGATTTTATGATTTTAAATTGTATTTCTTTTCTGACTTTTCTATTAAAAAACCCAGCTATTAAGAATGCCTCTGGCTATTATATCCAAGGATAAGTGTTTGAGATACCTGAGAGATACTCCGGGAATTGATAAGTCTTCAGTAGAAAAAAATGCCCTGAGATCAATTTCCTGATTCAGTAGTGAAGTCCTCATATCATATAAAATGTAATGTGATTGTCCATGGCCCTAATGAAATCTTGCCTTTTCTGCCAAGCTTTCATCTATAAAAATCAAATTTATCCGGCATTTGTCTGCATTTTGAAAGGGATAAGGATTTTTTGAAATTGATATGATAGTAATCCTTTATGGTGCATTAATACAGGAGAACAATAATTTGTTGCATTTTCTTCACACCGAAACAATCAACTGGGAAATGTGCATAATAATTGTCTTTGTCCTTCATTGTCACAGGCCATTAGCTAATGAATTTAAGCTGTACTTGGCTCTTGCTTCAATAAGAAAACTACATTAGAGATCTTGTAGCTGTGGTATTATATAAAACCTTTCAGTGGGTTTTATTTTAGTCTCGCTGAGGTGATGCTGCCATGGATTGAGGAAGGCATCAGAATTTTGTGGTGAGCAATGAGGTCAGCATTGTCTGGTGTAGTGGGTCAAGCAAGCTGAAGGGCACCTACAGTTACTGTTGTTGCCAGATGCCAGACTCTCTTTGTTTGGTTTCTTATATTTTAACCAAACTTTTCATGTCTACTTTTGTGACAGTTTCAGGTTCTTCTTTTGGGTGGGAAGATTTGCTAAACTCAGTTCAGCTGTACTGAGATTCATACTAGGGAAGGTAAGTGGTTTGGGCAATGCTTTAAATAAACAATAGGAGCACGTAACTGTCAGTTGAGCAGTTTTATTACCTATGCAGTTTTCCTTCTCAACTAAGAGGCTGGCTAAAGAAAACCCTGTGATGCAAGGTCTTCACTGTCCTGAGCAATTAGGAGCTGTTGTTGCTGCAGTGGGCAGCAGGATCTGCAGGCCAGCAGGCCATGCAGAGTGGGACTCCTGAGCCCCAGCAGAGGGATGCAGCGGGATTTCAAATGCTGCAGTCTCCAGAGAAGCACTCCTGCCATGCTAGGCTACACCAGTCACCCAGCTACTCTGTCCTTGTCCCCATCTATGTCACAGCTGGGAAATGACACACCATTCCTACCTCTTCATGTGTTCTGCCTGCTCCCAGAGAAGACACAACCTATGAGTTCAGTTGAGTTGTTGTCACCTTTGGGCTGCCAGAATGGTGAACAAAATAGCAGAAGCCTGAGACAAAATTCCTACCATTGTCATTTGTGTCGAGCATCTTACCAGTATCAGAAAAAGAACCTGAGACTTTCCAGGCATTACTTTGTATCCAAGCTTTTAGCTCATGGGTGTCTTAGACTTTGGAGGAGAATGGATGGTGAGTGTGACACACATCTGCAAACTGCAGAGACTCTCTGGAGAGCAGTGGTGGCGTAACTCTGCGTCTGTTCATGGTTTATTGCTTCTGCACAAGCTGCAACACCACAGCACCTCAGGGATTGCTGTGGCAAACAGTGGTCAGATTTTGTTGTGTCCTGTAGAGAGAGATGGCACCAGATCATCAGCAGTGCAGGGTAATTCACTTGCAAAGTTGTGTGAGCAATGAGCTGGGATGGCCACTCCTGTTAACAGGCACCATTTGCTCTCTTACCTCTTTTATCTTCATAACTGGAGTCTGGGGTTTCCATGGCCTGCAGGCCCTCTGTACTGTCTGCCTACCTGGGCAAATGTGTTAATAGATAGTGCAGTGTTCTGAATGCTGTACCCAAAACCATGATGCTTTGGTGTAAACCAAGCACTGCTTGCAGCAGAGTAAGTGGATGGAAAACTCCAGGCACTGGGCTGTGCAGAGAGCAGGTGCCAGGTTGTGGCGATCACCCATTTTTCTAAACCGGCAGCACTTACAGCCCTACTGACAGAGGTTGACTTGCACCAGAAGTAAATTCAATATGCATGAAAGGACTCTTGTTCTTCTTCAGTGGAGAGCATAAAGACATACTGTCAGACAAACTAATCTCTCTCTGATAATTTTCTTTTCAACATCATTGAACTGTCATTTCTCCTGGGCTTTGCCAGAATGTTTGACATATCTGTTGTTTCCCAAAACAGACAGATTTTGCTAGCTTGGCTGATACAGGAAATTTTGCCAGGAAGAGAGATGCTGAGATGCCTTTACCAGCCTTGTGCTGTTGTGCAGGTCCTTTTGCTGAGCTCTGCAGCTCTGGTTAGGGATGAAAGGAAGGTATCTTGGTGATTGATTAGGTTAAATCTTTAAGTGCAGCAATGGAATTGTTCCCAGCACTTGCCCTGGGCTGGGAGCACATCTGCTGGGGTTTTGGGAGTCTACTATTTTTACTGGAGAGAAACCCATTTATACCCCTAGATCTTTAATTTCAAAACTAGTGATTCAAAGTGGCCCCAGGCACTAGTGTGTCACTGAGCTGCAGTTAGCAAGTGGCCCAAATGAGAGATTTCCTCCCCACTCCCCTCTTTCCAATTGTCCCTCTAGAGGGCTGGCAAAGCAGTCACTCCCTCTAGGCATGTGTGAAAAGTCAGTAAGATTCCAAGACAGTGGATGGAAAATACCTGCATTGAACAACCTCCTCCTTCAGCCTGGGACTCATTGAGGAATCTGCCATGGGGATAATACATGGTCCACAAGGCTAAATGTCCTCCATAGCTTGTGCAGAGAAATTTAGCAGAAATGAGGTTGTAAAGTGAGGCAAACTGGAGGAGCCCAAACACCACCATGATCTCGCAAATGAGTCCTACACCCCATTTGTGGTCAGCTCTTTTTATTTTTGGAAGCTAACATGTTTTCTGACAGTGTGACTTTATACAGTCTAAAAAACATATAGGGAGATTAGTGATAACTCAGTTAAAAATAACTTGCAACACCATTTAAATCCCTATGGGTTAATCTGGGCATATTGAAGAGCTGTTTCTGAGTCTGGAATTATCTAACTTCGCTGTGATTATGTAGTTTAATTTCCAGATTAACTAGAGGTATTTGTCTACACTGTGTGGCTGCTGAGATATTACAAGTCAGAGCAGGAGACTGCAGTCAGTTTTACAACAGAATTAATTGCTTGTCCTTTCAAAACTGAGTTTTTCCATACCATCTCACACCTGCCCAACACCATTACTGCAAACACTTGTCCACTTGCATGTCTTGCAATACATGAGTAGGTGCTTTCATTGGCCGTGACTGTGGTAACTGTAGATCTTCTGCAGGATGAAGGCCATACCACACATATATATTTCCACTCTGTGATTTGAGGTACTTTTCATCAAGTGTTCACTAATGTCCCCAATGTGTGATGTTTGGCATTCTGGTTGTACAAGTTGTTAGCTCCAAATTTTCTCTTAGCCTGGTAGGAACACGGTTTTGCATAATAGATTGTCTTATCACATCTGCAAGGTAATGGCTTCTCGACTGGCTTCCAAGGCGGCCTCAGATTTGATCTGTGATGGCCTGTGCATTGCTAATGGCTATATTCCAAGGAAGCATACCCCTGTTACCGATGAACTGTGTGAATGACTGATGGTGTGGATCCAAAGTTAACTAGGCGTTCTCTTTAAAGGTGACGTATATTATATTTGGGCAAAGAGGAGTTTCCTGCATAATCTTTAGAGACAGCTGTGTTCCATTTTATGATTTCTCTGGCAGTTACTGAAATACAGGTAAAAGGCTTTACCCTTTTCCAGCTCATTATTCTGATTGCATGTCCAGCTACTGATTTTCTGATAAACGGGATCACAGTAGGGGAAAAAAAAAAAAAAGTGTAGGCTGTACAACCTTCACTCCTTGACCTTTCCACCACTGAATCTGCAGTTTTCTTAGATGCCTCTATGAAACATCTACAGCTGGTTAAGCAGAGATTTGACATAGCCAGGGTCATGTAAAATGGGTATGGGGGCTAGAAAGCAAGTCTTCCTCTGAACTTGCTCCATCTCTTATTTTCTTCCTTAACTCTTAGAAAATGGTCTTTCTGTTCTTAACCTCTGTCTGTGGAGAAAATGTCGTGTTTTCAGTTGTGCTGCCATACCTCTCTGAGATGCTTGTTCCAAACCCTAGCCGTAGGTTGCTCCCTGTCTTTATATTTGTCTAAAGTTTGGCCCTTTCACTTTCAGCTGTGTCTAGAGAGCATTGGTGGTGGTCTATGTAGCAGCAATTAGCTTAAGAAAAAAACTGCTTATTAAAAAAGGTCAAGTTTAAAGTCAAACTATAGAAATTGAAAGAAAAAGAAAACTCAGTGAGAAAAGACAAACAGTTCCAGAGAATCAAGGTAGTTGTTTATGAAGGGCATCTTCAATTAACAAGCATAGATTATTTGATCATAAACAATAGAATCATAGAATCATTTAGGTTGGAAAAGACATTTAAGATCATCAAGTCCAACGGTCAACTCAGCACTGCCCACCACTAAATCATGTCCCCAAGGGCCACATCTACACGGCCCCTCCAGGCTCCCTCCCCCCTGAGCCTCCTTTTCTCCAGGCTCACCCCCTCAGCTGCTCCTTATCAGACTTGTGTTCCAGACCCTTCACCAGCTCTTTGGCCTTTCTCTGGACACGCTCCAGCACCTCAATGTCTTTCTTGTCCTGAGGGGCCCAAACTGAACACAGGATTCAAGGTGTGGCCTCACGAAGTGGCCTCACGAAGTGCCCTGTACAGGGGGGATGATCACTGCCCTGTCCTGCTGGCCACATTATGTGCTGTTGATTTTAAAAAGAGAGGGAGAAAGGCATTCTTTGCCCTCATTAGTGCTGCAAGATGTCCTATACAAGCATAATTATACTCTGCAAAAAGGCGGCTAGGGAGACCACACAGGAAGGGCACTGAAGAACTGGAAAGGGTACAGGAGGCACTAAGCATGATAAAAGATTTAAGGTTGTTATTTATGGACAAATGGCCTTTTTTTTTTTTTTTTTTTTTTTTTTTTTGAGAAGAGGGTAACTAGGGCCACTAAGAGGCCACAGGTATCAAAGGGCTATGACAAAACTCATTTAGACCATTGCAGGCTGACTAACAGGGGATTTGATAATAAACTTGGAGAAAGCAGCACTAATCCAGTGTTTTCATCTAGAGCAGGGAAATGCTGTCTGTAGTGTAGGGTCTCCACCACCAATGCTCCATCTTTGGTCTTGACTCCACAGGCTGGACTGCACTGTGACTTCTGCATTTCAGGAATGCGATTCCTGTCCTTGACCTCGTCTGCAGATAAATACAACATGCCCCTTACTGCTGAGTGGGTTGGGAAGAATGTCAGCCAGACGAGAGAGGGGAGATAAAGGAAAGACAGGTGAGGATGGTTTTCATCTGCTCTGTTTGAACCACCCTGCTTGACTTTGCCTTCAAAACTTTGGGCAGTGGGGTTAAGAGGGGCAGGGCAGGGATTACCTTCTCCCTCTGGGGTGGCAGAACAAAGTTGACCACAGGAGAGCAAAGGGGCTGGGACATGAGGCTGCCACTCAGGGGATGGGCCTTTTGGGTGCTCCTTCTGGCACAGAGCCTGGAGGGGAGGCACTCACTGCCTGGCTGAAGCACAAGCAGGGGCTCACCACGTACAAGTGTGAGCTCCAGCCACAGCAAGAGAATGGGAGAACAGTCAGTCCATAAAGAAGAGGTGCTGGTGAGGTACCCCAACCCCTGTCTATTTCTGCAGATTCCCCTTGGCAGCAGGGCTCTCTCTGGACTAGGAGGTTTAACAGGGTGGGTGTCTGTACACAGCTCCACACCTTGGGCTGGGATGTGGTTTGGGCTGGGAATGCTGCACAGGGGAGCTGTTCCATAGGCAAGAACCAGGCTGGGCTGCCTCCCTCAGCCCCTGCCAGTGTTAACAAAGCACAGGCCCACCAGAGCACATCCTAAAACCTGCTTCTTTTGCTTGCAAGGCAAGAACCAGTGGTGATATTTATGCCTTAAGCACAGCTGGGGGTATTGCTGAAATTATTTGCTTTGGTTCCAGGCTACGATAGGAACTGGGCTGTCTGATTCTGCAATTGGGGAATTGCCTTTTCTCAGCTGACAGTGTCAAAGTCAAGCTTGCAGTGCACAAATAAAATGGGGTATTCCACACCCCCCCCCTGCACCCTTTCAATTGTCACTAATATTTAGCAGAGGGAATATTCAAAACATTATTTCCTCCAATACAGAATGGCTGTTGGGTGTTACTAGATCACAAAAGATATCTGAGCAGAGTTTTTCTGGCAACAAACAAGAAACAAAGGGAGGATTAAAAAAAAAAAAAAGTTTTGCTATATATAGTGTTATGATTTTTTATGTATATATATATAAATTAATGTTGGGATGTGAAGAAACAAAGAAAAAGAGCAGGCAAGTGTGCTACCATAAAATGTTACAGAACTGAATGTTATAGCGTCAAGCATCAGGTAGGGACATGTGTTGGGGACTAGGATGGTTGTTTCCACATATTATTGAGATCAGTGCAAACTCTCCACTACCTTATTTAACGTGGGATCAAAGGTTTGATGGCACCCAGAAATCCAAAACCAAAATGTGGCAGGTGTGGGTAACCTCATGTTACCACAGTCCATTGCCTCAGAAAGAGGAATGTTCTTGCAAATTTGACATAATCCAATTAGTTGATTCCCTCAGTGACATTTCTGCAGGCTCATGTACAGAGGAACAAGGAAAGGGAGATTTATGACAGCTATTCCTAGCAAAGGTCATTTCTTTATTAGTGAACAACCTGTCCTGAGTCATGCTGATGACGAGGCGTTGAAGGATAAGGGAGAGGCTGTCTAGCTTTAAAACTTAACAGGGAATAACAGCGATAGAGCATAGATCATCTCTCTACACGGACCAGGAGGACTGAAATCTCCCACCATCAGGCCAAAGCCAGAGAGTATGAGGCAAAATCCAGAAAAAAATAAACAAACATGGGGATTTCTGTGGGGATTGTGAAGGAGTTTGGATGGTTCAGCGTCAGCACAGCAGGGGGGAAAGAGGAGCCACAGGCATGAGTATGTGTTTTTGGATAGGATGAGTGTCCTTGGTGGAACCAGCTGCTTATAAAGAACCTGGTCTGGTTGTTCTGGGGAATCCCTGGTCAGCACTGCCAAATTCCCAGTGTGAGCAGTTCTCAGCATTCTGTTCCATGCCATTTCCAGAACAACACAGATGAGGGCATGCTCAAATGTATACAAATACAGTTCCTCTGCTGTCTTTCCATAGGCAAGGGAAGCAGCAGAACTGACAGGAATATGGTTTCAATAGATTGTGACATACATATTATGCATTTTTAAATAATAAACAAGCATCTGGCTATTCATCACATGAATATTTTTACTGCTTGCAGAAGAGAAGGTTTTTGACACTGTACATAAAATGATGCATCATTTTTTTCATAATCAGATGGACCCTTCTGGGAGTCGCGCAAGAGTTGTTCGCTCAGGTATTGACCTTAAAGGTGAGCATTGGGTACTTTGGTGTAGTAAGCTGTGCTTGTTTTCACCATCAAGCTCATAATATTGGATTAAGTAAATATGTGACAGTTTCCCTAGACCTTGGCTCAGATCCTGAGCCACCCTCTAGAGCTGAGCTATGGTTTGAGCTGGGTCACTGGCACAAACCAGGTGTGTGGCTGGCAGGACCAGTCAGGAGATCTTTGCAATATGGAAATGAAGTCAACAGGGAGGTTCCTTGCTGATCCATCTGAGTGCTCTGACCCAAGGAAGGGGTATGAGGTTCTTCATCTATGCCCTTGCTAATCCCTTTTTGCCATTTATTGGATCCTCTGCGCTGTGAGCTGCCAACAGAAGTCACACGAGCTTTTGAGTTGGTCTGGTATGAGGCTCAGTCCAGTAACCTCATAATGCTGTGGTGGCCTCCAGCTTTCAACCTCCAGCTGAAGATCTGCCCTTCCTTCCACAGTAATTCTTCACACCCTTTGAAATCCCCTAAAGCTTTCCCCAAAATTGGGAGAACTGAGGATTGCTAGTCTTAAAAATTGTAAAATAAATGGATAATTTGTAGGATAATTGCCTATGTTGTCTATCTCCCCACGCCACAAGGGAAAAAGCAGTCTTATGCTGTGTACCTCCCAGGCCTGGTGTAACTCGAATCCAAAAGCTATGAAGGAAATGGAAAATGTTAATAAATAATGATGTTTGAAACACAAGTCACTGAACAAACCACCAGACCTTCTGCAGTTATTCCACAGGACAGAAAATGTGTATCTCAGTTTAAGGAAAATAAGATCTTGGTCAAAGATTAGGAATTATCCTGAGTGCTGCCTGACATTTAGGAGATAAATTATAGAAATTTATGGATTAACTTATGGATTAACTTTTGGGAGTATATTCAGAGTAAAGACAAGTTTTGAAATAAAATCAGCACAACTGATTACTTGACGTTTCCTTGGTATGAGGAAGTAGGGATCTCCTCAGGTCCACTGGAATTTCATATAACCTTGTTTGATCCACTTTATAGCTGCCAGTTTTCCATCTGGTATTTTCCAAGTCAGAGTCAAGCATGTGTGTGCTCTACACTGCGTGTTCTCAGTCTGATGTGCTCTGGAAATCCTGGCCTCATTTCCCAAATCCTAAGCAGGTGATCTGCATTTAATCAGTGGATGTCTCCCTCAAGTGTGTTGGAATTACTGTGTGCAGACCAGCTGCAAAACTGGGACAGAAATGTTAAGACACACGTGCAAAATCTTCAAACTGTAACTTCAAAAACATTCTGGAAAAAGAGCATTTCCGAGAAACTCTGTATGAGTAGTGCAACTACCTCTAACATTTCTAGTGCAGCAGTTTAGGAGAATCACTGCCTTTCCCAGGCAGCTCGGGTAAGGGACTGAAGATGGACACACTATAAGCAAAGGGCTGGCATTTTCAATAGCCTAAATATTCACCCTCTCCGAAGTAACTTAGTTCAGCTTAGGCCTGTAGCCATCCACAGTCATTCCTCTTCTCCTTTCACTCCAGCCACTGAATGCTGGCAGCCTCTGCGATATGCCAGCACAGTGAGAAGCAGCTTAAGAGAAAGGAGGGAGCACTGGGATAAGGAGCTTCCCAGTCCGCAGATCAGGCTTGGACTCTATTTAGCTTGTCATGGAAAAGAACATAGAGGACTGCAAAGCCCGGAGGCTTCAATTTCACAGCTGCTCTCAGAGCTCCACTGCATTATCTTGTGTATTTCCCTGTGCTTCCACTCGATAGCTGGCTTAGTTTCTGATTTGACTGGCTGATAGGTTTGGGATTAGCTCCCACAGATCGCACAACCACCACCACCACCACCACCACCACTGAGATTCAGTGAATTTCAGAATCATTGCAAATGGCGCTTTGGGATGCAGAAGTTTACCACACGCCTTCGGGTGTCCAGGAGGCACATGGGACACGAGCAGCGTGGCACTTTCTCTGTGAACCAGAATTAGTCTCCGTTTAGTGTCAAGATCAGTGCTGGAACCCAGCACCGAGCGTTTACATCTGGCTCCCGACACCTCCTCAGTGGCACTGCGCGGTGGGAGAAACATTCAGCTAGCCTGGCTATGGGGAATTCACAGCCACATCCCACCAGGATCGCCGCACGTCGCTGCCCCGCTTTCCCCCGCAGCCACTTTTACACAGAACTGCGCAGCACGCCCAGCCCCCAGCGCCGCTCTGCGCACGCCGCTTACACCGGCAAAGAAAACATCATTCTGCCCGCGGAATTTCATTCCCACCAACTTCCCGTCCCCACGCGAACTCCGGAGCCCCTCCCGTACCGGGGCCTTCGCCGCGGGACTCGGGCTGGGCCTGGCGCTCGGCCCAGCCCCTCCCCAGGGCGGGCCCGGCGCGGGGACTGTCCCTCGCCGTGCTTCCTCCGCCCCTCCCGCCGCCTCCATTCGCTTCTCGCGGCTGCTCCCGCGGCCGCTCACTCGCTCGCTCCCTCCAGCCGGCCCGCGCCCCCCTCACGGGCGCCGTCTGAGCTTCCCTCCCGGCCCCGGACGGCGAGTCCCGGGGCCGCGCCAGACCCCAGCCCTGCCCTGACAGCCCCGCTGCCGCTTCGGGAAGCGCCGCCGCCAATCGCCGGGCGCTCTCGGGCTGACGGGCGGCCGCACCCACCTATCGCGTGGCTCCCCCTCCTAAGGAGCCCCGCCTCCCCGAGGCGCGCGGCAAATCAGAGTAAAGACGGGGCTGTGGGCGGGAGGGAGGCCCTGCCGAGCCCCGTCTGCGCTCGCCGCCCCCCCCGCTCCGCTGCCTCTCAGGAGCGCAGATGATTGACAGGGGCTACGCCCAATGGGGCGCTGCGGCCCCGTGGCGAGGCCAATGGCGCGCTGGGGGCGGGCGTTGGGGGCGGGCCGAGCGGCGGGCCGGGGCGCGGCGCGGCGCAGCGCCTGCAGGAGGGCGATGGTGGCGGCGTGAGGCGCGGGCTCAGCCGCGCTCTGCGTGCCCGGGGCTCGCCATGGGGCTGCGGCAGGACGGGGGCAGCCGCGGGGCGCTGCTGCTGCTGCCGCCGGCGGCGGGGCTGCCGCAGTGATGGGCAGCGGCAGCGCCGGGGCTCGTGTGCCGTGTGGTGCCAGCGCGCCCGCCCGGCGGGGCCGCCCGCGAGGAGCCGGCGGCAGGTGAGTGCCGCGCACGGGGACCCGCCCGCGCCGCGCCCGGGGCCGCCCGTTCCCCTCCGTGCCGTGCTCGCCGCCCGTTGGTGTTTTTTTTTTTCATTTTTTTAAACCTTCTGCGGCTCCCGGCCAAGGGCGGGGGGCTCTGCCCCGGCAGGCTGGGCGCGGAGGTGACACGGGCTGGTTGCTCCTCGCCCCGTGGCTCCGTGGGGACCACCTTCCCCCCGCCGCGGGGAGACGTTCTGCTCCAGGTACCCTCCTCGCCAGCTTTGATGCCATCCTGCCTGCCCTGCCTTCTCGCCAGGTGCGGCCAGCTTTTGCTTCTCCGTATTCCTAATGAGGAGGCTTTCCCCCACTGCACCCGGCAGAGATGCTGCTTTCCTTTCGAGGGACGAGACCCACCTGGGTTTCTCCTCTCGCTTTTTACCTCCCTGATGGATCATTCCTCCGTGCAGGATGGGGAGACGTTTCAATTTCAGTATGATGCAGCGAGGAAGATGGGGAATCCTGGTTAGTAGCCAAGCCTCGGGAGATGCCCCTTCCTCTTTCATCCTCCTCATCACCCTGTCACGGGCGTGTAGTAACACTCCCTTGCCGGCTTTTTGGCTGGTCCTTCTCCTTGGACAGAGAAATGGGAGCAGGAGGTGTGTGTGTGTGTAAGAGAGGAAACAACTGTTACACCTTTTGTCATCAAGACAAAGAACTTCATCTCCCTGTGTCCCTCCCTCTGGGTGCATATTGGCAGCACCTCAGCCACTTTGCATTGCTTCCCGGAGATGCTTCGCACGGAGATGCTTCATAAGGATCCGGTGTGGCTCTGACCTGCCCTTTTTTTGTTGTTGTTGCCAATTGTGATGGTACTGATAAAAGGACATGTTGATATGTTTCCAAACAGTCTCGTGGTTTGCATTCTTGAAATTGCTGCAGCATTCTTATTTATTTATTTAATTGGAGGGGTGGGGGGATTGACAACAGGAAGGGGGTATGTTTTTGTAGTTCACTGTAGTTGTTTGAAAGGTACAAGGTCACGTGCAATTGCAGCACTGTAGTGTGGAGTATATTAACCAGTGCTTTCTCCCCCTGTCTTGTCTTCCAGTCCTGCAGTGTTCACTTCATCTACTGTGCGAGGAATGGCGATTCTGTGAGAGAACTTCCTTTTGATTACCTGTCTCCTGCTATTGCTTGCTGCTCCTGGCCAGTGATGAGCCATTCAGCTGGACTGGGATTTACCGTGAAGAAGGGAGATGCAGAATATGGATTGTAGACATCCTATCGCATTCCTCACGTACTGTTTTTACCGTGTCTGTATATAAACCTGCTAGTATCAAGCACACACACTCTCTTAAACCTACATTGGTATTCACAGACTTGCTGTTGTGTAAGAGGACTGGTGTTTATCACCACCATGGCTTCAGTTTGGAAGAGGCTGCAGCGTGTTGGGAAACATGCATCCAAGTTCCAGTTTGTGGCCTCTTACCAGGAATTGATGGTCGAATGCACCAAGAAATGGTAAGAAGTGGCTCATGTTGCTGCACAAATGATGGAGTAAGATGTGTTGGTGAAATATGAAGGATGTTGCTCATTTTGTATTGTTTGATGTGTGTGCACTGCTCTTGCATCCCCTTACCTTCTCTTGCCTGCCTGCTGCAGAGGCGCCTGAGTGGGGTACTTGTCTTTCTCAATGAGTGCTTGCTTTGTTGTGTAGTTATCCTGGACCTACTGGGTTTGTTCTGTATTCTCAGTTTTTAGGCTGGCATTGTTTTTACCTTGCAGAGAAGGGTGCATTTATTAGCTTGGCATCTGTGACATATGTGACTTAGTGGTATGGTTTTAATTGTTGGTTTTGTTATTTGGTTTTGTTTTTTGTTGTTTTTTTTTTTTTTAAGTATTTCCCATGAGTTGTTTTCC